ATATTTGTGCTGCCATGGGCTTTGAAAAACCTTTTCTGAATTATAATGAAGGTATTATACATCCCTAATAATTATATTTGATTTTAAAAAGTACAGTCATTTTACCACAATTTGGCATTCTTGGCTGTAAATTAATTCCAAGTAGTATGTGCTTTCAAAGCTCTGATACTGCAGACGTGTAATGTTATTGTGTGGTTTGTGAGACCAACGGATGTTTATAATAATCAGTGCTTAAACAAATGATGAGGGTTGGATGTTTTCAACTAGTATCTTTCATTTGTATAGGGGAAAGCTTTCAGATATTACAACATAGTCACAATATTTGCTTGGGTTAAATGAACCTAGTTTGAAAAACAACCATTTTGCAAAGTCAATACATACTTTGTTAAAAGAATCATCAAAATGAGGATAATATCCAGAATGCCCAGAACTATACAACTACTAACACTAAATCCTCAGTAAAAACATTTTTAATGATATTTCACATCTCTGTGTTCTGATGAGAAAAAGTCCAACTGGGTATTTATTTGCATTTCTTGAAATTTGAATATTAAACCAGATTGTTCAAAAGATCCTTGCTGAATATTTACATATATTAATCCACTGAGTGTGGAAAAAAGACAGCATAGAAACAAACATGTTGATATGGGTTGTGTCTATTTTTCTCTGTGGTTATAATACATAAAGATGACATTCTAAGAACCTTTTTCTATCAGAATTTGCTCTACTTAATTAACTGTTGTAATGAAATCAAACGGTAGTTTCATTTTATTTACCTTATAAGAAAGAATGTGTAGATATCTAGCTAACTGATCCAAGTTTGTGAGTTTCTAAAAAGATGTCAAGGGTTGGCACAGTCTATTGACTCAGGGTTGGCATATAGTTGAAATTTCTTTCTGTGAGTAGGAGTTGATGCCTGGTCTACTTTTCATGATGTCAGGAAAGCAAAAGCTAAGCAGCGTCAGACCCCTTTAATTTTGGGATGGGAGGACATCTCAGTTTTACAGGTGAATTTGTGAAGTCAAGAACACATCCTGGAAGATTGCAGGGACAAAACAATCAGAATTCATTACCAAGATAACAACATGTATCCACCACATATAGTCTGCAACCTGCCAAAGAATAGAACACAAGGAGAGAACAATAAAGAGAATAACATTAAAAACAAGTAAACTGGCACCGCATTTATTATGCTTTTTAATTCAATGTGGTTTAAAAAGAGGTAAAACATTGAGATGAAAAATGCAAGTAAGAGAAACATTTGCTTTGAAAAGAATGTTAAAGTTACAATTTAGGACAGAGATTACACACTTTCTGCTTATGCTAGGGAAATCTGGCAAAGTAATGAAAAAGGAGAAGTTGACTGGGATCATATCAAAAGCTCAGGAAAAACTGATGAACAGTAACTGAATCCCAAAGCATGGAAAAAGGTTTCTGAAGAGGATGATGCTTACTGTAACTAGCCACCCACTCAGTCATTAAATACCAGTGTTAAGTAGTACTCTTGTGCTAAAATGAATAAAATAAAACTCTGAAAACCATGCTTTTGACGATGCATGTTTCAGGATTACAGAATCAGCTGTTTGCACATATGTGCGTAGGATTTAGTTCAAAATTGTAGGGTAAAATGATTAGGAATTTTGATTTGTCTCTATGCAATCTTTCAACAATCAATCTGTACTAGAGTAGGAAGCAGGAATTTCTTAACAGAAATGAGAGATTGTAGGAACTGGATTATTTTTTTGATCCCTTTCATACCCAATGCAAAACTAATTTCATCCTCTCTGGGAATGATCAATGCTAGGATAAATGAGTACAATTCTATATCCACTATTTTTAAAACCAATTCCCTAAATGCTCTTCTTCTATTCTTCATAGCAGTTTCTCAGGCCCCATAGCCTTACTTCTTATTCTATGGTAATACTTGGGAGAAACATATTTTTTAAAGAAATTTCCAAATGAAGAGCAAAGAAACAAGTTCTTCTTTACTCTTCTCTGCATGAGAATGGAAGAAATCGGTAACATAATCTCTAATTTTCAATAATTTATGTGTAATAAAACATTCTATAGTTTATTGCTTATGAATACACATATATACTAGGGATGTGATAGTTCAGTGGTTAAAGATGCTGAGCTTGTCACCTGGGAAGCTGACAGCTCTAGGTTCAAGACCCCAGTATTGTGTGATGGGGGGAGCTCCTGTCGTTGCTCCAGCTCCTGCCCACCTAGCAGTTTGAAAGCATGCAAATGCAAGTAAATGCAATGTAGGTACTACATTGGTGGGAAATATTTTGAGTGCTTCAGCATGTAGTCATGCTGAAAATGTCCATAGAATGGACATTCCACAGACCACAGAAATGTCTTTGGATAGTGCTGGATCTCTAACAAAGATGAGCACCACCCATATAATCAGAACCCACTGGACTGGGAAAACCTTTACTTTACCTTACATTTGTATACTTTTTCTGTGGTAGCATACTAATAGTTTGATGGACCCACTGTCTATTGACTGTTTTACTTTTTGCTTGTTAATCTTTTTCTCTCTGTCTTTCTCTCTCTCCCTCTCTCTCTTGCATACGCACCCACATACACACTCTCTTTCACACACAATTATTAAATCTAAACTTGATAAATGGTCATGGCTGCTCCCAAACGTTATTTGACATTACCTGATGCATAATAATGCCTCACTTTATTTCATTAACATGTATTGGTTTTTGGAATGTATACAAAATAGATTATATGTTCATTTAACTATTGCTTGTGTCTGAGCAGTCATTCAAGATAATGTATAAAGCTATCACTCAGTGTATGGAGGGGAAGGGGGAGGCAATTAAAGTCAACAACAGACACTGTGGCTACTATTGCTTGTGTCTGTGCAGTCATTCAAGACAGCCAGGCAGCCAGCCCTGAGTTAGCTTTTGTAGGCCACCCGCCATGGCAGCAGCAGCACACTTGACTCCATACAAAGAGCACTAATAAGAAATGGCTGATAAATGAAGTGTCTTGATTAAATTTTACTTTGCCTCAAATGGTGTGTGAACTGCATTGTTAAAAAGGGTCTCTCAATGCTAAGAGAGGCCTGGCTGATTGCCATGGTTATTCTGGTCCTTCCTGATGACAGAATCATGTCCCTATGACAGGAGTCTCCGGAGGCTATTTCTAGTCCTAGACAGAAATATATTCAATTCACATAAATCCAAGTGTGATAACTCTGTGCTCTGCATATGAACTCAATTCTTCTGTATTTCACAAAAGAACTATTTTGTAGGAAAAGATGTCCTGATGCTTTTGCAGAGGGATCAGGATTGCATTGCTTTCTATGCTTTTGACTTTGAGTCTCATGCCTCTCTAATTAAATTTCAGCAAATAAATGTAATTTAAAACCTGTAGCTTAACACAGTTTTCCCTTTATGTTATAGAAAGCAGAGATGAAGAGAAACTGATTGCCTTCCAGATGTTGCTGAATTAAAATTTCCAGCAATGTTAGGCCCAAAATTTGAGGGAAAATTTTTATAAAATGTTTTATAGGTGGCATTTGGATCCCAAAAAATTGGCTTGTATGTATCCTAACTTACAGCCCAAATGTTGGAGGTGTGGTAGTACTGATGCAACTTACTTTCATGTTTGGTGGACCTGTAAGAAGGTTAAAGCTTTTTGGATAATGATTTGGTGGAACATTCAAAAGATTTTTAAAAAGAAGATAAAGTTTACTCCTCAACTATTTTTATTGGGTATTTTTAAGGATTTAGATGTTAATGAAACTATTTTAATGTTGAATTTAATAACTGCAGCAAGATTACTTGTAGGTTTATACTGGAAGAAGGATTCGCTGCCTACTTTAGAAGAATGGATACTTAAGGTTTCTACTTTAGCGGAAATGGCAAAAATTTCTGCTTATTTAAAGGACCATACACAAGAAAAAATTATTATAGTGTGGAGAAGGTGGATAGATTATATTCAGAATAAATATGGAACTTTAAAGTTCCATTTATTTTATGATTAATTTTTTCTTCAGGTTATAATTACTATTTATAGATTCTTATAATATTTGATTTATAGTAGATTTGTTTATATATATATATTTTAAGTTTAGAGAGAGTTAAGGGTAATGTATGAATTTGTTTATTGTATAGACTTTTTTTGTTTTAAAAGTTATATATTGTGTTAGTTTTGTTTATAATAACCCTGTATTTTGCTCTGGGAAGTGGGGGGGGGTAGGGGGGAGGGGAGGGGTGGGATTAAGTATATATAGAAATATTAAAGTATGAAATAGATGGAGTAATTTAGAGGGAGGTGCCGCTCGGGTGTTTCCCCTGAACTGTATCCGAAGAGGGATAAGAGGGGGGAGGAGGAGGGAAGGAAGGAAGTTGGATGGGAGGAAGGGATGAGGGGAGAGAGGAGAGGAGAGAGGGATAAAAAAAAAATAATTAAAAAAAAGAAAAAGAAAATTTCCAGCAATGTTCATTATCGGTCAGCAGGCTGGCTCCTGAAAACAACATCTGAAAGGCCACATGTTTTCTCCTGTCATAGAATATAGATGGATAAAAGGGGTAGGTTCTGCCCCATTGCTCTTATTGGCTTTTTTTTTCTTTTTACTTTAGCAGAAAATGAAGTTGGTTAAGAAGAATGCTAAACTCTCAGTTGAGTTTTGCACCAATCATTTTGAAAGGATGAACTCATAAATACACTGAAGAGACCTCCTTCAAATCTGTGATGTTATCTTGTTCTGAACTGGGCCTTTGGATCATCTTCCCCTTGTTTTCATGTTGTAATGACTGTCCAACCTGGTCAAAATCTTGAACTGGCCTCGGCACTGATTGTAATTGGAGCATCTGCTCTACAGCTGAATAGATTGACTTAACCTAAACTGCACTACTTCCTACTTCCCATTCCTACTTTTTTGGTTATTTTTGTTTAAAATAAACAAAAATATTGTTTTTTGTGTGGTTATGCGGTGGTAAACATTTTCTTGCTTCTTTTTTTATGTGCTTTTATAGGTCCTCCAGAAACTTGGCAAAGCTGATGAAACAAAAGATGAGCAATTTGAACAGTGTGTGCAAAACTTTAACAAACAGCTGGTAAGTGAGTTTTAAGGATTCCTTCATTGATTGTTGAACACCACCCAGAGTCACTTTCCATGAGGTGGGTGGCCATATAAATTTCATAAATAAGTAAATGAATAAAATTTGCTCACTTATTCTTTTAATTTGTCATCTGTCTCTTTCCTTCCCTGATCTTAATTGGTATCACACCAGTGTTAGATGGTCAGGAATGGATTTGGGATACAGTATTTAGGTTCCAGTCTGCTTCCTTTGGTATAAAAGTTTCAAGGAATATTTGGCAAAATTTAGAGACGTTGATTGATTGCTGCCACTATTCTTCCCTCCCTGTGAATAGCACACAATATTTAAAAATTGCAAATAGCCTCCTCTTTAACCTTTGTGTCTTTGATAATTTACTTAATTTGCAACAGAAGAAATAATTATCTTTCTTTTCCAGTTCTTCTTGTTAGAATATAACATGTGTCATCATAAAAATATAATTGAGCATTTTCTGCTCTATAATTGCAAAAATGCGTCATCTAAACATAAAATAGCATTGTTATGAGAGAGAGAAAAATGACAAAAGGTCAAACAAATTAATCCCCTCCCAAAACATGTGCATGGAACAGACTATTCCATTCCACGGAGCATGTAGAAAACTTGGATTTAAAAAAAATGCACGTAAAACAATGAACAAAGGTAATGTCTTATTTTGTTATAATATTTTTGTTTAATTGGGTTATCTTCTTTAATTTATTTATTATATAATTTAACTCATTTTGGAATGTATGTGGAGCATGCTTTAGGTCATATTGAATAATTAAAACTAATTAAATTACTTAATTAAGTAATTAAAATCACACACTTTTAAGCATCGCTGTAACTGCTAAACTGTTTTAAAAGGAATAGTAAATGACCTATCAGGGGCTGCAAAATGCAAAGCCCATGGTCAGATGCCATATCCCCAAACACTAATTGGTTCTGTATGTGTGCAGAAAATAAGTTTGGCAATTTTGAGCAAAAAATCTTGCTGGTTAGGTCGCCTTCTTGCTTAGTTCTAAATAGCGTATAAAGCAGTTCACTGAGTATGTGATGCAATTTTTGGAATCATGTGTTTTTAGTTACATTAATGCAATAAGTAGTTTCTCTTATAACATACTGAAACATCAAGCCATATTTAGGAGTTCATCTTGCTACTTTTTTGGATTATAAGCAGTGGTGAGATTCAGTTGGTTCGCACCACTTCGGCAGAACCGGTAGCTAATTTTTTATTGCCCAGGCCCAGAATGGACTTCCGGTAGTGGCATCTACACAGAGAACCGGTTGTTTACATATTTGAATCTCACCACTGATTATAAGCATAAAGTAGAAGTGTTCTTCAGTACCGTGTGACTAAGTGCTTCCATTAAAATAAGTTTAAGCACAAATTTGTAGGAGATGACCAGGCTGAGCCTGAGGGAGGGGCCAAACGCATCATCAGTCAGGAATCCCCACAAGAGATCTAAGTCCTTGGATTCCTTTCTATTTTTAACTCCCGCTAATTTCTCTTGACCATTAGTAGTTCAGATTCTTGTAGAGAGCGCTTTGCAATAAATCTCTATACTTATTTGAATTGCCTGAATCTTCTGATTTCTCTGTTGCTTGACAAAATTCACAATACAGCATGAGCATGGCAGAGTGGGCAAATAATGTAATTCTAGCAAGCGTCCTACCACAGTGGACATCCTGTAATAGCTAGCTGAAGAACTGCTTCTATCTAATTGAATAAGCAGTTATATGGTTGATTCATGGGCAACAATTTTGAAACATAACTTTTTACCATTGCCATGTATAAGGAAATATAATTCAGTTTTAAATATTCATAATAGATGAAGCAGTAAATTGCATAGAATAGTTTTAGGGAATGGAGGTAAATTTTCTCAGGGATCATAGCACCAAATGAAGAGATTATCTTAGTCTCCATATTGCATTTATGATCTTGATTAAATTTCAGTGAAAAAACAGATGCAAACAGTGCCAACCTATATACTTAAAGCAACATTTTCTTTGGCCCTTTGTTTTGCTTTTGGAATTCATTATGGAACATATTTCATTTGGAAATTCAGAATGTCTCTTAGCATTGATACTGATTTCCTAGAAAAGCTCTTGTGCACAAAATTTGTATATTCAAAAGGCAAATTTTGTTTAAAAAACATTTCCTCCTTGTCAGCAAGGCACCTAGAGATGAGACTAAATTTTGACTGTCCAGATTCTTCACCCCATAATCAGGAACTTGCTTACAGAAGTCCATAGACATAACACAGCTTTATTTAATACTAGATAAGAATAATTTATGTGCAGGTCTCCTTCTTGTTCCTTTATACAGTTAGTTCTTGACTTACGATCACAACTGAGCCCCCCCAAATTTATGTTTCTAAGTGAAACATTTGTTAAGTGAGTTTTGTTCCATTTTATGACATTTTTCCATTTTTCTTGCCACTGTTGTTAAGGGAATCATTGCAGTTAAGTTAGCAACATGGTTGTTAAGTGAATCTGATTTCGCCATTGACTTTGCTTGTCGGACGGTCACAAAAGGTGATCACATGACCCCGGGACACTGCAACCATCATAAATATGAACAAGTTGCCATGCATCTGAATTTTGATCATGCAACCATGGGGATGCTGCAACTGTCATCAGTGTGAAAAACAGTCATGTCACTTTTTTCAATGACGTAATTGTTGTGTCCTGGGCCTGATAAGGAAACTCAGTAGGCCCAGAATTGTTGCAAATGGTCCCGGGCATTATAAAAGCTGCCCGGGACCAGACAGAGCGGCGCCAGCTTGTGCGCATGCGCAAGGCGCGAAGAAAGAAGAACTTTTATTGGTTCACTCTGTCCGGGTTCAAGTCCTATAAAAGGCCTGCGTGCCTTTTGCCTTTTGCTAGGAGTTGGAGTTGGAGTAGGAGTAATAAAGCATTGTTCATTACCATCATGTGTCATCATCATTTGCACGTGAACGGAGACCACAACAGTAATTTTGAACAGACACTAAATGAACAGTTGCAAATCGAGGATTACCTGTAATACAGAAATCCAAAATTTGTGTAAGTATTTTGGCCCACATTTTAAATTTTAATTTTTTCCCTGCATTTTCAAATCAACAGATAGTTGATCATAGCCTTTCTGGTTTGAGATTGGATGAAGCTTGCTTAGAGTTTACAAAATTGTTCTGTCTTGCCTGAGATTCAGATTCCCATCTTGCTAGTGTCAGCCTCAGCCCTTACACAACATAATTTTACACTAAATTGAAAGCAGAATTCTTGAGAGTTTTAAACAGTCACATGTGTTTTTGTGAAGAAGTACACAATTTCCTCTCTTCCAGTCATGGCATTCCATGTTTTATAATTGGTTTCTACTTGATTAATAAGTTAATGCTTGGATTGGTATGACTTCCATTACATTTTAAATACTTCACATGGATCCCTCTCCATGGATTTAAATAAAAATATCTTAAAAATAAAATGAATGAAAACTTACCAGTTTACCAGCTAATATGTAAAGTCAAATGATGCTGACAGTTTATATGAGCTTTTAGGGAAAAAAAACTTGGCAGTTTCTTTAAAAGTCAGTGTTCTTGGTTGGATTCTTGTGAGAATTCAGCATTCTTGCTCAGGATCATTTGAGATTAGGGTAAAATTGCTGAAATGTCACAGGATATCACAAGATCTATCCCCCCCCCCGGAAAAATGATTGATGCCAGAAAAACAAAGTTCAACCTTGTGTAAGAATAAAACCCAAGGGGCAATATTGATGGAGTACAAAAAATAGCCTCTTCAAAAAAAAAAAGGGGGGGGGGGCTTTGCAACTACAATCATACAAGGCATACAGAATCGTACAAATACCATCATACCAAACAGAGTTGGTTTGCTAAACAATTACATGTACTTGGGACAAACATAATTTTCCTTTGGAAAATCATTAGATATTTTAAAAGTAAACATAACATGAGCATCTGGAAATTTATGTTGTCTAGCTCAGGGGTAGGTAACCTTGGCTCTTTTATGACTCGTGGACTTCAACTCCCAGAATTCCTGAGCCAGTGCTGGCTCAGGAATTCTGGGAGTTGAAGTCCACGAGTCATAAAAGAGCCAAGGTTGCCTACCCCTGGTCTAGCTGGTTATCCCAATAGAAGAAAGGATGGTGTGGTGACCAACAACTGTTACTGCAGCTTTGGCTTTCTTGTTTAATTACTAGCTAATCACTGCTGCTCTCTGGGTAGACATGTGGGACCCTCTGGCTATAAGGCTTTTAGAGACTACCTAATTCACTGTTCATTATCCTATTCACTTCTTTGGGGTCATATTTGGGTCTGAGAAACCACATTTGTGGTAGCTACAAGAAATATAAGTAGTAAAGAAAGTTGATCTTATGAAGCCAGAGACCTTTCTCTATTTAAGCCGGAGTCCCAGGAAGGATAGAAATGACATCTAGGCATCTACTGAAGAATGGGCCAATTGTTTGTTATGTTGCTGGGAAGACAAACAGACAGCTGTCTTTGCTTTGCCCTGAGCTAAGACCCTGTTTTTTGTACAGTCAAGTGGGCACGAGGTCTGCTGTGAAATGGAAGGGATATAAAATTAGCTCATGCATTACACTGTTGACTTTTTCTTATTCCTGAATGGGAAGGGAATCTTGTTCTAAATACCTTGTATGTCCATTCAGAGATCTCTGGGCATGCTTCCTTGCATCCCGCAAATGGCACCTCCCTGTTAGCTTAGAAGCTGACCTTGATACACGTCATGTAAACCAAACATGGGTTGACTTTTTTGGCAGAGGCGCTGACATTCCAGTAATCTGAGGTACCTCTGCAGTTTGATGAACAGCACAACTGGAGCTAAGCAGAAGTCTTTCTCCTTCGCTAGATCTGTCCTTTGCACAATTCTTCAGAATAACTTCTGCTTTTTTTAACCAGGTTAGATTAAAAGATAAGAAAATAAACACAAACCCAGGAAGGGAGTTTGCTCCTGTCCACTCATGCGGTCATTTAAAAGGAAAA